TTATTTTTTTTACTATCTACCATTTTAACAAATTATTTTATTTTCGCATTTAAAGTCTCAAAAACAAAAAAAGTCCCAAATAAAATTATTTTCGTCACAGTACACAATTATTTAATGTCTATTACAAACTTTGATGGTAAAAAATAAACGAAGAAAAATGTGTACGTACGTACACGCAAAAATTCAAAAATAGAAAAACTAATAAATAATGATTAAAAAGTAATTTTTTTTTTTTTGGGGCCAAAGTACACTGTATTTAAAGTAAATTGCAAACATTGCAGTGTGGGAGACTAAGGAATGGGTCAAGCTAAGACGTCTATAACTGTACACTCAAAAATTCAAAAACAAAAAAACTTATAAATAATGGTTGAAAAGTCTCAAACAAAATTTCTTTTGCCACCGTACATTATATTTTTTTTTTTTCCCGAAACGATAGATAATTTTATAAATCAAAATGCACAAATGTGCGAATATACAGCAGCCAACGGCTGAATACACAGCAGCCACAGCTGAAAAAGTGGGAGGACAGATCAGAAGCCCGCCTAGAATCCCGACTAGCAACGCTAGAATAAAAAAAACACACTCACAACTAAACTAACCAACAATACAAACAACTAGAACAACTACAAGGACCCCAACAGGGTAATACCCAAGTATCGGACCCCAACAGGGTAATAAAGTTGACACTCGGGCTCACAGGGGCCAACGACCCAAACCAAAAACACAGGACATCGACACACAGGCAAAACGCCCGAACCAAAATACAAACCTACCACAAAACAATATAAAGAAAAAAAACACACAGCCCTTCCACGGCAAAACAGCCGAGTCTAACCAGCGGAGAACAGTCGATTTCAGAGAATAGTCCAAGTTCCAGGAACGGCTCCCGAAACTGCCACAAGGCCTATACAAAAAGTCGAACCCGAACACAAACCAAACTCCGAAACAAACCCACCTCAACCGAAGGGACAACCGAACCCACTCCCACTCTAGCACTTCCCGAGCCCGCCTAACACCACTAGCCGAGCTAAAGAACGCCAAAACCCCGCCGTCTAACACCACTAGACGGAAGGGAGGGGGGGTTCGAGCCCTTAGCCCCGACACACAAGCAGAGCTCCACCCCGCCTCACAACCCACAAACCCATCAGCATCACCACACACCACCGGCAATAGCACCCGAAAGATAGAATCCCGAATGGGGCATCACCGGAAAAAAGGAATCGCCCGAGCCCTCCATTCGCACAAATACAGAGCAAACCAATAGAAACCAGAAATTGAAGTGGAACTCACCTCCAATCGAGTCCGGGATACACCAATTGCAGTCCAATTGACGACCCAAGAGCCTGCCTCTACCAATCGCTTCGACTCCGACGAACTAGGGTTAGGCAGACCTTCGAACGCAAGCACATCGCGGAAACACCATAGGTCCAGATTTGTAGAGGAGGGACGGCGGTCGAACGCGACCACCGGCCGGCGCAGCACCGTCACCGAGGAAGGCGACGCGATTCAGAAGAGAGAGAGCTGTGTCGGGCTGTTTTTTCGCGAGAGAAGAAGAGAGCTTGAATTTTACTTTTAGCACATTTTTTTTTTTTTTTTTTTNTTATAAACGACCGAAAGGCGTATACTAATGTACAAACAAAAACTCAAAACGAAATAACTCATAAATAATGGTTAAAAAGACTCAAACAAAATTTATTTTGCCACAGAACACCATTAATTAATATGTATTACAACATTTGATGGTGAAAATTTAATTTTGAAATGGAAGACAAACTACTGAAAGACGTGTACTAAGGTACACAAAATAAAAAACGAAAAAACTCATAAATAATAATAGTTAAAAAGACTCAAACAAAAGTTTTTTTGTCATGGTACACCATTATTTAATGTATATTACAAACTTTGAATCGAAAGAAAAATGACTGAAAAGAAGTGTACTAAGATACACAAAAAAATTTAAAAAGAAAAAACTCATAAATAATAGTTAAAAAAGCTCAACAAATTTTCTTTTGTCACAGTACACCATTATTTAATGTATATTACAACCACTGATTGTGAAAATTCAATTTTGAAATGGAAGAACGACGACCAAAAGGGCATGTACTAAGGTACACGAAAAAAATTCAAAAACGAAAAACTTCATAAACAATGGTTAAAAAGGTTCAAACAAAAATTCTTTTACAACCATAGACCATTATGTAATTTATATTATAAACTTTGATGTTGAAAATTTAATTTTGAAACGAAAGAAAAACGACTGAAAGGGCGTGTAATAAGGTACACAAAAAAATTCAAAAATAGAAAACTCAATAAATAATCGTTAAAAAGGCAAACATTTTTTTTTTTTGCCAGAGTACTCCATTATTTAACGTATATTGCAAACATTAATGGTGAAAATTCAATTTTGAAATAGAATAAAAACGACAAAAAGGGCATGTGGTAAGGTACACGAAAAAATTCAAAAACACAAAAACTAATAAATAATGGTTAAAAAGCTCAAACAAAATTTGTTTTCCCAAATTACATCATTATTTAATGTATGTTACAAATTTAGATAGTGAAAATTCAATTTCAAAATGGAAGAAAAATGACTGAGAAAACGTGTACTAAGATAGATGCACGAAAAAAAATTTAAAACGAAAAAAACTTATAAATAATGGTTAAAAAGACTCAAACAAAATTTGTTCTGCCATAGTAAACTATTATTTAATGTACATTATAAACTTTGATTGGAAAAAATCAAATTTTGAAACGGATGAAAAACGACTAAAGGGTGTGTATTAAGGTACACGAAAAAATTTAAAAACGAAAAAACTAATAAATAATGGTTAAAAAGGTTCAAATAAAATTTCTTTTTCCACATTATAAATTTTAATGTTGAAAACTCAATTTTCAAATGAAATAAAAACGACTGAAAGGGCGTGTACTAAAGTACACAAGAAAATTAAAAAGTAAAAAACTCATAAATAATGGTTAAAAAGGCTCAAACAATTTTTTTTTACCATTGTGCACCATTTATTGTATACTACAAACTTTGGTGGTGAAAATTCAATTTTGAAATGCAATAAAAACGACTGAAATAGCATGTACTAAGGTACACGAAAAAATTTAAAAACAAAACAACTCATGAACAATTGAGAAAAAGGCTCAAACAAAATTTATTTTGCCATAGTGCAATTGTTTATTGTATATTACAAACTTTGGTAGTGAAAATTCAATTTCAAATGAAGAAAAACGACTGAAGGAGCGTGTACTAAGGAACACATAAAAAAAATCAAAAACAAAAAAACTCATAAAGAATGGTTAAAAAGGCTCAAAAAAATTTCTATTACCACTGTACACCATTTATTATTTACTGTAAAGAACAAACTTAGATGGTGAAAATTATATTTTTAAACTGAAGAAAAACGACTGAAAGGACGTGTACTAAGGTACACAGACAAATTCAAAAACGAAAAAACTCATAAACAATGGTTGAAAAATGCTCAAACAATTTTTATTTTTTTTGCCACAATACATTAATGTATATTACAAACTTTGATGGTGTAAATAAAAATTACAAACGGAAGAAAAATGACTGAAAGATGTGTACTAAGGTACACAAAAAAAATTCAAAAACGAAAAAACTCATAAATAACGATTAAAAAGGCATAAACAAAGTTTCTTTTGTCATAGTACACTATTATTTAATGTGCATACCAACTTTGATGACAAAATTTAATTTTAAAATGGAAGAAAAAAGACTGAAAGGCGTGTACTAAAGTACACAAAAAAATTCAAAATGGAAAAACTCATAAACAATGGTTAAAA